TCCCAGATAAGAAGTTTGAGGTAGATAAACGAGCCATGAATCTCGGGGATTTCAATGACATGATAAGAAAGGATCGATCTGGGTTCCGTCCACCTAATTCCAAAGACATGGGAACCACAGATAGTGGGCCTTATTTTGAGAAGGTGAGAGAAATATCTTTGATAAATTAATACCAACCTCTGTGTTCGAGGTCCCAGTTCTTACCCTACTCCTCTGGAAGTGCTAAAAATTCAGTAACCTTGGACAAACTCAATAATAAAAGGTGTGTGGGAGTTACGTTTGTAGAATGAATGTGTATATAAAACAGAGGTGTCAGATGTGCATAGACAAACTAAATTATCTGGGGAGAATGAGGCTTTTTATTCTAGAACAGACTGCTCTGAATATGGACAGAAATAAATTCCTTTGTTCTTCTTGGAAGGGTAAACTACTGGTAGCAATGAAATTCATTATAGGTTTCATCACAATGATTCTTTTGGCTACTGACTACAATCATCTACTGTAAAAAAATTGGTTTAGATCTAAGTAAACATAAGTAATCACAGTCTTCCAGATTTTTTCTGCTTTCATGTCTGTCGTTTATTGGAAACACCCTTTCTAAATTCCGCAACCCCTTATGCTGTATGTCCGTGTACTGTAAGCTTCTGTATGACATCTGTTTCTCTGTGACATCTGTTGTATGTTATGGTAGTGTTTCCTTCATATTCTTGCCTATTTTAAGTAGAAGCTTTCACTGTTACTATCAAACATTAATTGCTTCATATTATGAATTGGAGAGTGTCCAAAAGATTCAGAATGCTTTAGGGTTTTTTAATACAGTTTTTCACATACAAAATGGAAAAGAAATTTGGTTTAAAAATTCTGAAGGCGTGTTACTGTCAATGAATTTTTTTTTTTACTCCTCCATTTTGGTGTAACAGGCTAAAAAACAGTTTTGTCAACTCCCTCTGGTGGCCTAATTAATAAATACCACTAGCAGAGCTAATGCATTCCTAACAAATTATGTTCGTAAGTGTGTGCTAACATTAGGAATTCTTTCAAAATTTGTTTGTTTCTGTAGTGGTAACAGCCACTGTCAGAAATTAACTTCATGAGAGTTCAGAATGTATTTTTAAAAAGAAACCTTTAGGAATTTATTGATTATCTTCTTGGACCAAAATCTTAATTGTCAAGTGATCGTTTGAGTCAGAAGTTTTGTCCTTGTAATTGCTATTACAAATTAACTTTGCTTCTTCCTAGTCACTCACCGTCCCTCTTTCTCTCCTCTTGTGTTCTGTTGCTTCACTAACCAACTCCTGCTGTTGGCTAACTGCTGCTTCAGCTGACTTTGCCTTTCTCCAATCAAGATGGGTGCCTTGGGGATGAGGCTCCCTGCTCTCCCTTCTCCCCTTCTCCCAGCTACAAGCTGTCTCCCTCTGGTTCCACACTATCCAACGTCGGCCTTGGGGCAATCGGCTCAGGGCTCAGTCCCCAAAACTTCGCTGCTAGACAAGTAAGCAGGCCCTTGTAAGATGCATTGTTATAAGGCTGCAACCTGGGCTTAATCCTGGTTAGTTGGTTGCTTGCGTTTGTTTTCCTACTAAATAAATTATATTGTTAATGGATATTTCAGCTATATCAGGCCACTGAGAATCAATCCACTTTGGCTCCTATCATCAAAATGTATTCCATCTGTTTTTGTTGGCCTCTTACTTCCTGAATCACAGTGCAGCAGCAGATAGATGTGCTTTTCAGAAGTCGTTAAGTTAGTGGCAACCTTTATATTTTCATTGCTGTTTTAAAACCCAGTTAGAAGCTGTTGATTTGCCCCGCCACCCCCTGACACTGAATTTTTCCAGACTCTACCCAATGACCTTGTATGTAGAAATGTGCCTTTAAAAAAAATTGCAGTCATTTTGCATTGTGCCTGTTCCCTTCTCCCTTCCCCACAGACCAAAGAAAGGATTGATTTAGTAGCCTTTAAAAACTCTTGAAGTAGCAATATTTTTGTTCTGTATACGGGGGAATGGTGGGGAAGAAAGAAGTGGTTAACTGCAGTTTGGAAGAATTTCTGGCTATTATGTTTTGCATTATGCTAGCAGAAAATATTGCAGGAATAGTAGGAAATGAAAGAATAGAACCTAAGTATTGCAACTGGACTACCTTTATGTAGTCACATGCCTAACGTGATGGTGTTTCTTTGTGTTGTCTTTCTGTTTCTATGTGACACAATCAGTGTTGAACATCAAATGAAGTCAAAAATTTGCAGGCGTGTTCTTGGATTTGGTGTGCAGAATTCTGCTGAGCTTTAGGGAGGGCTGAATGTGTAGCTGCAGCTTCAAGCCTCTCAAAAATTTTGATGTGTAGTTGACCCCAGTCAATTCTTTCCAGAATAAAAACTCTTTTGTGTCTTGGGGTTTTTTGTTTATCCTCCTGTGTGCTTAGCATGACATCTTGAGTTGCTTCTGAAAGAGAAGATATATTAAGGAGGTGAAACGTGATGCAGGTGAATGAGGCAATCCATAATGCTGCCAGTATAGATGCAGGATGAGAGACTTCTGTTTTAGCAAAGGGGTAGTGGGAGGATGCACACCATTATGGTAGAAGGGAGGCAAAGCTTATGAAATCTGGTATATAAGGGAAGGAAAGGTTTTGGAGAAGGCCTGCACAATCTCAGTGGTGAATTTATGTTGGGTACAGCAGTGCTGGCATGGAGAAGGAGAACAGAGAATGATGGCTGAGGGATGGAAAATGTGCTGTTTTGAACCCCAGGTATCTGAGGATCATAGACATCCTGATATACAGCAGAAGATGGGAAGTTCTGAGAGCCTTGAAAATGAAAGGACAGAATCATGGCACATAAGGACCTTTTGGAGTATGAGCTTCAGCCTTTAGAAGCAACAGCATGTGACTGTTAGTGTAGGAGACTGTCCATAACACTTCCTGTGGCTTTGGTTGAAAGATGTTGCAAATAAAGACAGTCTGCTCAGAGGCTGAAATAGTGAAACATAATCGTGAATTTTCTTCAGTCATTTCCATGCAGTAGGGTTTATTATTACAGAAGTTGCTTATAAAACAGTAAATACTTCTCATTAAAAAAAACTCAAAAGAAACAGCAAGTATTCTTGTATTAGAAAATAAATCACTGGGAGGAAAAAACAAAACAAACCACATTTTTTCTCACTTGAAAATTTTCCTGCTCTTCAATTTAGTGGGGGGAAAAAAGGAAAATAAAAACGTTCCAGTCCAGAATGCTGAAATTTTCACATCAGAAGGAAAATTTTTGATAAAATTTTTGAATTCTAATTTCAGTTAGTGAAAGGCCTGCAGAGGAAGTAATAGGCTTATGAGCGATATTTCAACAACCTACTCAGAAAAAGTACCTGACTTTTCTTAAATGATGGCCCAGAATTCTTGTTGACACAGTCTTGCCATACTTTTAAGCCAATGGAACGTTTTTTTGAGTGTGTTGTTTGTACTCCAAGTTTCCATTTCCCAACATGTAAAGTGCAAAATATAAAACATTAGCTTTGTTATGTGCTTTGAAATAAGTGGATAAACATGACTCTTCAAAGTAGAGGAGGAAGAACCTTCATCTTGACAATGTAGTACAGCAGTTTTAACCCAGGTAGAATATTACTGATTTAGGGCAAACATCTCAGTAATTTTAAGGGTACTTACTCTGTTTAAGTCAGTACTTGCCTCATTGTTACGGATATGTAGTTAATAGCATAGAAAGCCATTATCCTGAAAGATTCATCTTCTCACTACTGCTTTAATTTTATAGGGTGGCAATCATGGTTTGTTTGGAAACAGCACAGCACAATCGAGGGGCATGCACACACCAGTGCAGCCACTAAATCCTTCCCCCAATATCCGGGCGCAAGTGCCTCCCCAATTTCTTTCTCCCCAGGTAAGGAATTTATAGTAACTGGTTACTTGTAAAAAGTAGAGCTACAGCCTTCAGAGCACACATTGAGTTTACTTACACATCTATCTTAGTCTTGACTTGATGTTAAGAAATCGAAAACTTAGATAAGATAAAAAATTAAAATTCATAGTTGAAAGTGCTTAAAACTCAGTGCAGAAGGATTAGCCTTCTTTCTTATTCCAAGGCAGTTGATGGTAAATGCTCGCTACCAGTATTTTTAAACCTCAAAGTGGATTCAGGAATCCTGCGTCTTACATAGGCTTTTGCAAAGTATTTTAAAAACAACAAAAAAAGTGAAAGATGAAAGTTTTTCTGAAGTGTGACAGGTTGCTTAATTTTTTTTTTCAAGCAGTCTTGTCCTGTGCTTTCTACCCCCTGAAAGAGAGGCCTGATGAAGGGCTACACTTTGCAATTACATTGCAGAGCTCTAAGACCTCAGGGTCACCAAATGAACAAGTTTACCTTTTGCTTTGGACTTGGAGAAGACTTTTGGTGATTCTCTTGAATTCTACTTGTGTAACTCTCAATGCAGGGAGAAATGGGGGGATTCTTCTCCACCTACTCCTGTCTTTTACTATAGCTTATTCAGCATACAAAGAGATTAACTCTTTCTGTGAGGCACTGTTTCTTTGCTCCAGTGACTGCCTGAATGCCTTTCTTTTCCCTTGTCAAGCAGTACGTTTTTAACGTGATAATGCAGTACTGTGATTACTGGTTAGCTGCATATGTATCAGCATTTTAATTTAGTGCAGTCTCTAGCAACCAATTGGTTGGGGGAGGAACATTTGTGTGTGTGTCTGCATCTGCACCTGTAATACCATATATTGTCAATCAAGTGAGGTATTCACTCTGCTCAAGTCATAGATTGTGCATGTTTAAATGTGATATGTTAATAAATCTGTAATGTCTTTCCCGGAACACCATTTAAGATTGGTGTTGTACCTATTCCTTTATGGAAATACTTGTAATTCATCATCTTTTCTCATAGCAGTGCATTTCTTGAGGATATGTAACTGGTTTCCATGCAGGTTTCGGCCTCCATGCTCAAACAGTTTCCCAACAGTGGCTTGAATCCTGGTCTTTTCAATATGGGCCCCCAGCTTTCTCCACAGCAGATTGCCATGCTGAGCCAGCTTCCACAGATTCCCCAGTTTCAATTAGTAAGTAGCTAGTAATCTTGTGAGACAGACTGTTTACAAATTGTCTGCTGAAAGAGTTTTCTTCTTATGTTTGTTCTAATTCTGTTTTGTTCTACTGATCTTGTGTTATTTTTGTACAAGTATTCCCTGTTGGTTGTACAGGAAAATAGAGCCCTGTTAGAGGGCAGCAGATAAACTGAACAGGCCTGTGTAATTATTGTGAATGTTGCAGTGTGTTAGTAATGACTCTAAGCAATGTCTTTGTACAGAAGGCAGTTGTTTGTTGATTTTTAATGAAGTTTTCTCAGACTTGTAGTCATAGTGATGGTAATAAAGCAGGTACTAGTAATACTGTTGCATGATGTTAAATTAGAGACAAGTTAAGGATATAGTATTCTTCTAATGCATTCATTGTCGTTTTATTTGAGTGTGTGGAATGAGAAACGGTTTACCTGAGTTCTGAGCAAAACATTTGCTAGTGACTAGCTCCTGGCCAATTATATTTCACTTGATGAGCTCTGTATTTTCACTCTTCCCACCCCCACTTATCTTGTAGGCATGTCAGCTCCTCCTTCAGCAGCAGCAGCAGCAGCAGCTGTTACAAAGCCAGAGGAAGTTATCTCAAGCTGTGCGACAACAGCAGGAGCAACAGGTGTGGCACTGGTTTTGTCAATCATATGAAGTATAAAGCATGCTGGGAAAATGCAGTCTGCAGCAAAGATGGCACTGGCTTTAGTAATGTCATCTGCTCTCTTCAGTTTGCACTCTCTCCAGATTGCACTTTTCAGAGAGCAAGGTTCTTTGGATCTCTTTCAAGTCACTGTTTCTTCGTGTTTACTGGAATTCTGTGTTACAGTATAGGATATATCATCCTCACTTTTTTCTTTCATTTGCAGATTGCTCGTATGGTGAGTGCCCTCCAGCAGCAGCAGCAGAGGCAGCCTGGCATGAAGCATTCACCATCCCACCCTGTTGGGCCTAAGCCACATTTAGACAGCATGGTACCCAATCCTTTGAATGTGGGTCTCTCAGATTTACAGACCAAAGGGCAAATACCTGGATACGGTTCAGGTAAGTGCTCTGAGGAAAGAGATTGGGTGCATTGCCTATAGTTACTATATTAATATGGTAGCGCAGTTACCACTTAGCCAGTTATGTCTGGGTCCAGAAATGAGTAATTTATGTATAAGCACTAGAGCGAAGGCGTCCACTCATGATAAAAGTGCATTATTTTTCATTACATTGGAAGAAGACAAACGTAATAACAAAGCATATCTTGGTGGCATACTGACCTAACAAGCTTATTTGGAAGTTGCCTCTTGAATATTTAATTTGCTACTCTTGATTTTTTTTTTTTTTTTACCTTTCTTATGATCACAATGACTCCCTGTTTGAAGATACTTCAACGAAAGAGAGCAACTGACAATGGAGTTTTGTTTGTTTGTTTCACAGGCTTTGGCTCAAGTGGTATGGATTATGGCATGGTGGGAGGGAAAGAGGCTGGAACAGAATCCCGCTTTAAGCAGTGGACTATGATGGAAGGGCTGCCCTCTGTGGCTTCACAAGATGCCAATATGCACAAAAATGGTGAGAAGGGGACTGACTATTTCGGGAATGCCTTTGCAGTATCATCTTGCCAGAGGTGAAATAGCTCAGATGAAATTGTGCTTCAACTTAGTTAATATCTTACCCCACCAGTATGCATCATATTTTTTATTTTAGTATTCCATACTCATAAAGATCCCAACCTTTCCTGAGTGTAAATGTATCTTTTTAATGCTTCAGGTGCAATAGTGCCCCCTGGAAAGGCTCGCGGAGGATCGCCCTACAACCAGTTTGACATAATTCAGGGTGACCCACTAGGTGGCCATGCAGGCCCTGCTGGTGATAGTTGGTTACCTGCCAAATCTCCACCAACGAACAAGATCGGAAGCAAATCCAGCAATGCCAGCTGGCCTCCAGGTATTACATAAGGGCAGGGGTTATGTCCTAGCTTTAGAGTAGATGTGCTGGGACCTTTCCTCATCATACTTTCTAAATAACCACTGCAAGGAAAATATTTGCTTGGCCTATCTCTTTTTTAAAATTTCTTCCACATTAAATTAGAACATAGATGTTGAATTTCCAGTAAAAAATTGCTGGGCTAAATATGAACTAACTGCTGAATTGAGTGAATAGTATTTGGTTTTTGTTAGGTGAACTCTTATCTTCCGTAGTTTGGTGACTTTACACTTACAGAAATTTTCATGAGAACACTTATTCATAGAATACACAATACCAGCTCCCTCCTTTTGTATTGATTCCTTATTTGTGTTGTGTTAGGCTGACACGGGGTGTAAAAATTCTGATAGATACTGTGGAATTGGAAAGTAAAAGATGTGCAGGCTTGTTTTTTGTGATGGTGGGAACAGGATTTTCTTGTCTTGACCTTTTGTATTTTATGTAGCGTGAACTTTTCTTCTGACAATTGTTTACAAATACGATCTACTGTGGACCACAAGGTTTCTTTTGCCAGCAGTATTGGTACAATATGTATACAATGTGTATGCTACGCTGTTGTGGTTCACCTTTGCTCATGACGCGTAAAGGATAGAAGAGTGTTGCCACGTTTCAGTACTGCTCAGCAATCTTGTGGCTTGAGTAGAAGTTTCTTGCTTTTTGGATTACAGGCAGTAGCACATTCTTTGTCTTCTAGAGTTTCACTGGCAGAATTTTATCTTTCCGCTAGAAAACTCAAGTATCTAGGAAAAATACATATATATTTGAACACGCACGTCATTTTCTACATAAATCATTCATTAAACAGAGTGGTGTCCTTGAAGTTGCACGGATTAATTACCGGTGCTGTTCAGCAAATAGTGGATGCTGTCATTTTTCTCTGCCTGGAAGACTCTTAACATTCCAAGAAAACATTCCTAACTGCAAATCCTCTGCTGTGTATCCCCTCAAGCACAAAAAAGTAAAGGTGCAGGTACATCTCTTGGGTAAACCAGTAGCACAGACCTTGCATCAGAAAGCCTAGGAACCTGTGTGACACGTGCGACTGCAGGAAACCTACAAAAAGTAGTTAAAGCTTTTTATGTGGGAACCCCTCAGTGTCTAACTCTGGCAAGAAAATGTTTTCTGATGAGCTAACAGAGTTAAAGAATTAGTTACCTCAAGAACCTCTGCACACCCACAACATTTCATACACTGACTGCTCTCTGTAGAGGTCTATTTGCATTACGTTTCTGTCAGCCTGGTTGTTACGTACTGAGCTTCTTGAGCTGGAGTTACTGTTCATAATGCCAGAAACCCCCAAAATTTAATTTTTTTTTTTTCAGGACCTCTCTCGTAGACTCATTGTTGCTGAACTTGTTTCTTTAGTCACCGTTCCCCTAAATAATACTGAGAAACACAGTACTGCTTGGAATGTTAGGAGAGGGATGTGAGGATCAGCTCTGCCGTCTTTTGAGGTTTGGAGCAGCTACTGGCTCTGGCAAGATTCTTGGTACCAGAAGGCTGTTACAGAAGTGAGAAGCTGAATAGCTACTCTTTGCCCCTCGTTGGTATCATAGAGCTTCCTTAGTGATACCTGCAGTCCCACTGTCAGTGATAAGTAAAATTTTTGCTTTTGCTGATTGCCTCACCACTGTGAGAGGATAGCTGGAGTTCACAAATCCTGAACACCAAACTCTCACTGGGATCATCAGTACCATTGCAAATTTCTTGTGTAAATGAGTAGCCTGTGACTGTGATTGCAGATGTCATGTAATAGAACATGGGTTTTGGCATGTGGCTTTTATGCAATTATTGCTGTATTGCTAGTCCTCTCTTATGAGGTCCGTAGACTATTGGGACAAGTGTTATTGCCCCAGAACCATCAGCCACTTAAGCTGTCTCATAGCCTCTCTAGCTTATTGGCTTTCTCGAGAAGGAGAACTTAGCTGAAATCATGATCCAGCTTATCAACACCCCTGATGAAGAATAAAGACCCAAAATGATTTTACACTGTAGGTCCTTTTTCTCTGCAAGCTTGTAGATGAGGCCCACTGTCTGTTCTTGGTATGGAGATACAATTTTTCTTCCTAGTGCTGGAAAGTAAGTTGTTAAAGAAAATTAGTTTGCAAGAGAGAACCTCTTGAAATGGGTGCATTTTTCCTTTGAATGAATACAGTGGTCACTCAGCATTCACCCTGACTACACCTTTCACGTTTTCCTCCTAAATGCCATCTGCTGCAGAAATTCTGCCGTTCAAGAGAGCAGTATTGTTCAGCACAAAGATAAATGAAGTGGTGCCCAATCAAACTGATATCACAGCTGGAGGTGAGAGCAAGTTTTGCTGCATTGGTGAGAACTATATCTTTTGGTTATGTCACACAGACTTGCATACCTAGGTAATACTAGACTGTAATTTTCCCATTCAGGAGCAGTTTGGTCATATACTCCAGGCAAACTGGCCTGAATGTGTCTGTCATGGTTTTCCTAATAATCTTATGTTTGAACTTTTTGGGAGGACCTTTCAAATATCAGTGGAGAAAAGCACTTCATGTTTTCTTTACTTAATCTAGAAATAAAAGAGCATGTCTGTAAGGGAGAGTTGGTGAATGTGCATGAGAATAACTGTCAGTCCCAAAGGATAGTTTGGAAATTTGTCAATATGCTGAAGTTCAAGGAAAACTCTTCTCCAGACCAGGATTATATTGATGAGTGAATGTATTTATATACTATACGCCTGATCTTTGGAGCCTTGTTTGAATATTCCTTAACTTTTTGATGAGAGCTTACTATGTACTTAATTTTCGGTCTCACCAATTCTCAGAAAGCTTTACAAAGGCAAGACTTGGACTTAATCCCTCCCCCCCCCCCCC